AGTAGCCCTACTTTTTTTTTTTTAATTTTTTTTTTTTTTTTATTTATTTGTGTGTGTGTGTGTGTGTGTGTGTGTGTGTGTGTGTGGCCAGCTCAGCCCACCAGGGGGCGGGGCTGGCTGGCGTGTGGTGCTGGGGGATTGAACCGTGGTCCCTGTGCTTTGCTAAGCTTGTTCTAAGTAGGTGCTTTAGACCACTGAGCCATCTCACCAGACAGCCCTACTTTTTGAAAGGACAAAAAAAAGCAATTCAAAAGCTCCTGCTGCTAAAGGAACTTCCCAGAGAACTGGTGGTAAATGACCCCACACCTCTAAGGTTCCAAAGTAAATTGCTAAAACCTCTCAGAGATATATAACCTACAGACTCCTGTGAAGGTGAAAGCAGGAAAGAAATATTTAAATAGGACCGACCTGACAGCTCAGTGGGCTGCAGCACCTGATTAGGCAGAGTGCAGTGGCCAGGATTCTATGCTTGGTAGGCTGTGCCAGCCCTGCCCCTGGGGCGCACTGCAATCCCAGCACTTGGGAGGCTGAAAAATGGAGAATCCCTAAGAGTCCGCACTACATAGTGAGACCCTGTAGACCTGTCCTAAATATGTAAGAAAAGAAAAAAAGAAATATTTAAGTAATAAACGATGCTCTTTGATTATTTAAAAACTGTGTGTATGGGTTTTTTTTTAAAGCAGTATATAATGGTGCACACCTATCTAAAATCTCAACCATACAACAGACTGAAGCAAGAACACTGTGACTTTGAGGCCAGCATGGCCAAATGAGTATAACCCTGCCTCAAAATAAAATAATAAATCATCTAGGGATATAGATCAGTGTAAGGATTCTGGGTTTAATCCCAAGTACTTGGGGGTAGGTAGGCTTTATCAGAACATAGAAATTGGCAAGCAAATAAAATCTCTGTGTGTATTAGAATCTGGCCAAATGCTGATATAATGGGAAGACCACAATCCTCAGAGTCTATGACAGAACAGAAGGTGAAACGGGACCACACAGTTTCTCATTATCTGCTTTCTTTCTCTTACCTGTGATTGAAGCAGGAGGAACACTGCAAGCTCAAGGCCAGCCTGAACTACACAGAGACCAGGTCTCTCTCTCTCTCTCTCTCTCTCTCTCTCTCTCTCTCTCTCTCTCACACACACACACAACAGACCAACAAATGAAGAAAGAAAACACAAACACTAACACAGTCAAAAAAAGAAGACAAAAACATCTAACAAAGTACTTCTTCATTTCAGAGATGAGGAATACCTCATATAGCAACTTCAAAAGCTTACCTAATCCTGTAAGATTATTAGATCTTACTTTCTTGTTCTGTTCTGCTTTGTTTTGTTTCTTTTGAGGCAGGGTCTCGCTATACAGTTCAAGCTGGTCCTGAACTCACTATATAGTCCAGGCTGGCCTCAGACGTGAAGCACTCCTCTTCCAGCCTCCTAAGTACTGGGATTATAGGCAAGTGTCACCATACCCAGCTCCTGTAAGATTCCTCAATTCCAGAGTAAGATAAGTGAAAGCCAACAATGTATAGCAAAATACTTTGCTATAAAATAAGCATGGTACTTGCATTTTAGAAAGTTTCACTTAAGGAATTCTGTTAGGAAATCAGGCTTTATAATAATATATCTTACAGATCCATCACATTTTATGACTGCCAAAGTGTTTTGCTATACATTATCTAATCTGATTCACATAATAATCTTGCGAAATAGGCAGCCCAAGGATTTCACAGATAAAGAACATGAGGTTCCAAAAGGTTAAATTTCTTGATCAATGATAATCACTTAGAAAGTGGCAGGCTGAGGGTTGTGTTCTCTATGCCACTGTTACTTCTAAAGAACTAGGCATTCTCAGCCCCTCCCAAGCTGCCCTTCATACTTTATACCACCACTTCAAATATGAAAAGTAATAAATAACATTTCCCTCAAAATAATAGTCTCGAGATCCAGTCCTAGCCCAGGCCCGGGACTTAAAGTTCAACATATCGATACTTGAGGAAAAATACCTGTTCCATGTTATGCCTAAGATGTTTGATATTCAGACAGATAGTGAGGTTAAGCTTAACAGCCTAGGTTGTATGGTAATAACAATAAGCTTGTCTTCTGGAGGGTTAACAACCTAAGTTTGCAGACCAAAATTAGAGAAAAAGGAGGGTCGCAAGGAAAGCCAACATTTTGGCCCTAGCCTTCCAAGGTCAATTCAGACTCAGGACATATGAGAACTTGTACTGTAACGTCATGTAACTCGGCAGTGTCCCAAATTTTCTGATCAAGGAGATTATGAAGCCAAAGAGGAAAGTGATCGATGATGTAGAGTGTGCCTAAGGAGAGTCACATGGAGAGAAAACATTCTCTCTGGCTTTCATAGAGAGCACACTGGCCAAGCAATGGCCGTGACTCATTTACATGGCTGACACTGACAAAGGTTCTACAATCTAAGGTACAGGATCTCAGGATAAATCCTGAGGAGATTTCACTAACCTTATCAGACCCAAAAGCTACAAACCTTGTTGCATAGGTCCTGCTTTACCTTGGTCTTAACCATCCAGCAGAAAAGTATAAAAACGAAGTATAAGAAGTAAAGCCATGCTGTGATGTTGAGCTGTAGGGGGCGTAGGTCAACAATTTCTGACATGGCCAGTGAAGCGGAAGACCCAATACTATTATGGGCTACTGGACTCTTTCAAAATATTTTGCTGAGTTAACACACCTATAATATTCAAGTTACGGAAATAAACAAAAAAAGGGGATACAGATGAATGTCCATTTTGTATCTGTGTAAAATGGTTAGGATAGATACATAGTTACATTCTCTTAATGAATACAGGGATTTGTTCTAATGGTGTTTGTAAATAGGATATCATGTCTGCATCTTGTACAGCAATTAAGCACTAGGAAGAATGTATGCAATGTGTTAATTATTGAAACTGTCCTACCGATTTGGTTTGAAACTGTCTCATTGCTATTTGTTTCTCAATAAAACTATGGTAAAAAAAATAATAGTCTCATTCCTTTCAGGTCCTATCTGGCTTTAGGTCACAAAAACTGTTGTAACAAGCTTACATAGGCAGCATATTTAGGTATCAGAAAAGGAAAAGAAACATGTTTTGTCTTCCTATGAAGGGGATCTTCCTTCCTCACATCCCTAAATCCACTGGCATCACTAAGGATAGTGCTGTGAAGGAGGATAACTGAAGTGGCATAAAACTCAATTGTATATCCTCTGCTGAGCAGGGAGAGGATAACTCAGAGAGACACAAGATAAAAGAAATGTTAAGTGTTGAATGTGAGATTTTGTGCTGTACAACTTTTTTTTTCTTAAATGAGTGACTTCAAGAGTTTGAAGGGGGCAGTTCAAGTCTTGCTTTAAAACTACCTTAAGTATCTGCGACTCTTAAAAGTTTAACTGAAAAAAAACAACAAGTTCTTTGAATAAAATACCTCATTTTCTTATCAATAATATATATTGCTATTAACATTTGCACAGTATAAAAATAAAAGTTATCAAGTAACCTTCATAAAACATAAGGGTCAGGCCGATGAGATAGCTCAGTAATCTAAAAGGCCTGCTTGGGCAAGCTTAGGCAAGAACAGGGACCACAGCTGGATCCCCAGCACCACATGCTGCACCAGCCCTGTCCCTAGGGCAGGCTGAGCTGGCAAAAATAAATAAATAAATAAATAAATAAATAAATAAATAAATAAATATCAAAGCAAGACTCGTTTATGCAATAAACCTAACTGATCTTTGCAAGTTCAAGACCAGCACACTGATTTCAAGGTCAGCCTGTACTACGTAGCAAGACCCAGTCTCAAAAAACCAAAAATGAAAATAGAATGAAATAAAAATAAAAGCCCTAAGGGGAAAGGAAGTAAAAATGAAAAAAAAAAAATCAAATTATACTACTAGTGTCTCATAGTTTACTAAAAAGATTTGTGCTAATATCCATTGGAGAATTTTTTATGCCTTTATCTTATACTCTGAATAACTACTTTAGAGATGATAATAATATGTAATGTATTGACTACTGTTGTTCTCCCATTATTTTGTTATGAAATTTTGTTTTAATTTCTTTCAATATGGCCAGGGAGACAGCTCAGTGGAATAAATGCTTGCCTGGCCAGTGCAAGGTCCTGAGTTTGATCCCTGGTACCACCCCCAAAAAAAAAAAAAAAAATTCTTTCAATAAAAAAAGATACAAGCACAAATAAATTAAGATAAAATAAAGTTTATTTTCCATGGAAGAGTAGCTGATCTTGTTCAATATTTAATTTCTGGAATTTTCCCATAGCTATAAGAAAAGGCAAATAAAGAAACCAGAAGTACAAGACACTCTTATTACACAGGTATATGAAATCAGTTCAGCAGGGAGTTTCCACTGCTAGGAGGACAAAGGACTTCTCAGAAACATTACTGCAATCATATTGCTCATTTCTTACTCAACACAGCACTACAAAAAGGATGCTGCTATGTTCCCACCTTAGCTGCCTTCTGTGTTCTGTGATAGCCAGAGTCAACAGAGATAAATGTGGCTTCTGGAAAACCAAAATGCCAACCTTCCTTTATTTCAAACTTGCTGGGAAAGTCTTCTGTACTATCTGATTTTATGAATCTTGCAATAGACACATATCAGCCAAAGCTAAAGAATGAGTAACTAAACCTAATCTAAAATATATATTCAAGCAAATATAACAATAAAAGCAAAGTTGTTTATGATTTTAGCACTTCATGAAAAATCTGATATTCAAAGGGAGTAGTTCACACCAAAAATTTTAAGAAAATTCAGGAGAACCCAAAACAGATTTACTATGCTAAATCCAGATGACTGACCTAGAATATTTAAGATTCTTATTCTATTTCCTGATTAACAAATTAATTAATAGCTGCTATTGTAAGGATAAGGAACTACTAAAAGTTAGAAAAGAACTTTGATTTTATTTCTATTTATAGGTGAGTTATAACCAAAAATAATCAAGTGAGTGACATAGACTTACATGATTTATTGCAGACTGAACAGCCATAACATAATGGTTTAGCTTCCGATTCATTATGACAAATTCAACCATCGCCTTGTCCATACTATATTCGCTACTCACTTCAGCTGAAAGGAAAAAAGACTACAATTATTATTTTCCATTTAAAATACTATATTGGAAACAGCTGCAATGATATACTCTTTATCAGCAAATGGTCCAAATAATGCTGTAAAAGTTGTTAACTTTTGTAATTTTTGTAATTTTGTACAAGTTCTTCAAATGTCCTAAATATATGTCCACTTCATTAAAAATTTTAAGACTATACTCAGTAACAAGTCTCCAAAGGCAGTGTTTGGTTGGAAGAAAAACTGGTTTCCAGGTGTTTCAGGCTCTGTCCAGTGGGACAGTATGATTTTAAAGCAGTCTAGTCATATATCCACCATGTAAACTTCTTGAGAATTGTCAATCCTCCTAGTGAAAAACAACTGCAAACATTAGACAAAACAGAAATGAAAAGAAATTTTTTTAAAAAAACAAAAGTTGACAGATAGTAAGAAGAAACAACCAGAGAAAAACCTAGGGAAAAATGAAGAACAAAAATGGGGCAACAGCACCACAGTCTGATCCTGTCCACAGCCAGCTGGGTCCCCACTCCTCTGTGCAAAGGTGAACCTGAAGCAACCCTCTCTGTTCCTCGTTCCTCGTGCCCACAGGCAGTTAGCTTTGGCCCGTAGACAGAAGAGGGGAAGTGGAAAGAAACCTGATTTCTGAAAACCTGGCCAGCAGCCAGCCCTCCTGGCTTTGCAGCCTGGGTTTTCCTCACGCTCAGGCCAAAAAATAAGGCTCTGATCTGAGGGGCTCTCAGACGGGCAGTAACACAGGTATAAGCAAAGAGCTCTTTCAAAGAAGATATCTTGAATCCTGGTCTCAAGGAGTTCCTCTAAATAAGTTCTATGGGCAATGAGCAGATTGTAAAAGAAGAAATTAAAACAAAAACACAAATGAACAAAAAAGTAAAACACACAAAAATTAAGCTTCCAAAAGTAAGAATCAATTATAAACATAGCTACAGATATTTCAGTTGTTGTAATAATCTATCAATCACTGCATAAAACAATGACCCTCGTTTAAAAATTCGAACACTGTCAGGAAACAGGTGACAACAAAAAACAATCAGAGATTGAAAGAGTAAGGTGATGTTCTCAATAGTGCTTTTAAGGTGTTTTATCTTAATCTTACATAATTTAAGACTGAAAAAAAAAAACAAACTAAGATCATAAGAATTTTAGCATTACAAAAAGCTGAGTGAAAAGAAAGTCAACTGACTTACATTCTATTTGAGAATGTACATACTCAAAGACTAAGTAATTTAGCTCATACAAAATGTCAGTTTTTCTTGTCATCCCAAAGTCACAGAATATGTAAAACCCATTTAAAATTTAAAATCAGCTTCCTAAACTTTTAAATTGTTTTACATTTATAACAATCTACATTCATTCATTCATTCATTCATTCATTCATTCATTCATTCATTCATACAAGGTCTTACTACATGGTTCAGGCTAGCCTTAAACTCCTGCCTCCCCTTCCTGAGTGCCAGATTTACAGGCGTGCACCACCACACCAGTTTACAATGATCTACTTACTATACACATAGTTGACAGAATGTCTCCTACATATATGTGCTTCTAGTAGAATACCTCTTAGCTTTTAACACCTAGACATCAAACAATGTACATATATATATCAATGTTAGTTTTTCTTTGGGATATCTATGATGTTTATGAAAGAAAAATATATATTTGTAACCCCCAAATTAGATATTTTTAACTACATGGGTGTAAAAAGTATCGAGTCATATCTCTAGACCATGATAGTTACTAAGTCAATGCTTTGAAAATGTCCACCTGTCAACAAAGGACAGAAATTGCTACAATTAACAGGTGTATGTTGCTGTGTTATCTATCTGATGAACAGGAAGCGGATTTTTCATAGTCAATATAATAATCTGTGCTGGTCATTTTGGTGCATGTCTATAATGTAGGTAATCTCCCTATAAGACTAATTTTTTTCCCTGACACTGAGTATCAACCCCAAAGGTGCCCTAGTACTAAGCTATATCCCCAGTCCTATTTTATTTTTGAGACAAGATCTCACTAAATTCTCAATTCTTCTGCTGTAGGCAACTAAATTGATAGAAATATTATAGGCAGTGAGAGACAGGGCCAGGCCCTCAAGGACAATATGCAAGACAAGTTGACTTCGCAACTCTGGCTAAATCAGCTAATGTTTGCAGGCATTCAGAAGAATTGAAAACTCAAGCTACAGCAGTACAGTGATGGTTATTAACAAGGTCTCATGTACTTGTACAAGACAGTAAATCAAAATATGAGGCCAAAGGGACCTTCCTGCAAAGGCTAGAACCTGCCTCAGAATCCCAGAAATAACCTGTTTTTTAAGCTAACTTGTGAGCCAGATATGGTGTCCCATACCAGTAATTTCAGTACTATGAGAGGCTGAGGCACAAAAACCCAGCCCAGGAGCCAGGAAGACAGCTCAGTAGAAAAATCCAGCCTAGGAAACTTAGAGGCGCCCTGTTTCAACAATAAGAAACAAAAAGGGGTGGGGATACACTCAGTGTGAAAGGCTCAATTCTCAAAATAACAACAACAAAAAGTCTACATGTTCTTGCTTGTGAAAAAAAAAAAAAGGTGTATAAATATAAGAGGAAAGCAAGTTCCTCTAACTCCTTCATGAATATTCAAGGAACCCTGAAGCGGGAGAAAGTCAACTGGCCTCAGCTTTAGCTCAGCTGTATGGTAATCCTCTGGTGTCAGTCAGTACTTCTAACTAGAACACTGGATAATGCCACTCAAAAGCTATCAGGCTTGGTCCTAGAAAGCTCTTCTAAATTCCCTATGTAGCGGAAACAGGTAACAAAAATGAAAACGATTTTTCCCCTTTTAGAGGAATAGTGAGTTTTAATATCAGTCGAGTGGCCTTTCACACGAGAAGATAATAGTAAAGTGCTATGAACTCACCTAAGCCACCCATTTCATGCCACGAGAAAAATTACCAATTCCAGAAGCACAATGATCAAGAACATCAGCAGCCAGGAAAGCTATAAAAGAAGGTATGGGCTAGACCCCAGCAGCAGAGGAAGGAATCACATTGCAAACAAACTTTTTTTTGTTTTGTTTTGATTTGCTTTGTTTTGCGGAACCAGGGATTGAACTCAGGCCCTTGCACTTGCCAGGCAAGTGCTTATTCTACTGAGCTAACTCCCCAGCCCCACAAACAAACTTCTTAATGGAGCTCAAAGTTAAAACTTATTTTTATTGTTTACATTCTTGCCCCAGCCAAGCAGGTCTGGGGAGGTTACAAATACTCAAATTTCTTCAGATGTGCTAGTCTAGGAGCATTTCTTGGGGTTTTTTTTTTTTTTTTTTTTTTTTTGGCAGAACCGGGAATTGAACTCAGACCCTTGCGCTTGCTAGGGAAGCACTAATTCCACTGAGCCATCTCCCTGGCCCCAGGAGCATTTCTTTGTTAGAGAAATGCTTTTGTTAATCAAATGAGTCTAAGTGACATACCATTTACAAGCCAATAGATGGAGGTGTCATGGGCACATCTTGAAGTGTTCTGGGAAGAGCTGGAGGCTTTTGGGAGGCCTAACACACTAAGGAATTTTTCTTTCTTTTTTTTTTTCTTTATTTTTGGCGGAACCAGAGATTGAACTCAGGCCCTAGCGCTTGCCAGGGAAGCACTTATTCTACTGAGCCATCTCCCCAGCCCCACTAAGAAATTTTTCAAAGAAGTCCCCCACCTCTATACTCACACACCAAGTCTACAACCCAAGGGGGCAATGACAATATGATTTATGCTATAAAATCCTAGGTGTTTCTCCAAGTATGACAGTGCTAGGGCAATTCTACAAACCTAAGTCATGTGCGCAATGATCCTTTCCAACTTGACATCCAACCACTGTATGACTGATAATAGACCTGAAGAATTTCATGTGTCAGTTACACCAGGAAAAGTTGTAGAACTAAACCTACCCTTTAAAGATAGTTTTGTTCTTTTCAGTGACAAATCCTGAACAAACAAAGAATGATCACTACTGAAGCAGGGCTTCTTTTGAAATTTAAATCCTAATATTTACATAATTTAAGAAGTTAACAAAGTTGGTCTGCATTTTTTTTTTTTTTTTTTTTTGAGACAGGGTCTCACTATGTAGCCCAGGTGGCCTTGAACTCACTGAGATCCCCCTGCCTCAGCCTCGCATGTGCTGGAACAACAGTGTACATTACCGTGCCTAGCTTGCACATAATTTTCTTGAAGTCAAACAAAGCTATAATTACACAATCTAAGCGTCTCCCTGTACATTACACTTGTCTTCTGTTACTCAATGTCAAAAGGCACTAACAACAACACTGTAACCACAACTCTTCTCTGCTGTGAAGAGTTAAATAGGTGGTAAAGGTATCAGATCAGTAGGACGTTAAGCACAAATGGATCACTTAGTGTTGCGATTAAATTCAACTTAAAATTCAAGCAACTCTCGTGAGAGTCAGATTATGAATGATGAAAGAATAAGAATACAGGCAAAATAATAACAGTAATGTGGGCTGCTGTCTATGTGAAAGGTCAGGGGCAAAATGAGAAGAGAAAGAACTGAGAAAAGCAGAAAAGGAGACAAGCCAGCTTTTTTTAAAAACCAAGACAGAGTCTCCAAGTAAGACAAAAGGCAAGCAGTCTCTGACTAAAAAGATACAGTTCATAATAAACCCGCAGCAAAAGCACAGCATGGCCACAGGATGGTTTATCCAGTGTCAGCATCAATGCTGGCTAGCAGTTATTAATCTTTTACTTGCTGGTTTTTTTGTATGCCTGAGGACTGAGCCCAGAGGCCTCTACCAATGTGCTCCATCCACAGTTCCAGGCCACAGACTAAAAGGCAAAGGCAGATGGGGGGACAGAAGACTTCCATCTTGGCCACCCTAAGCTCAGGTGGGCATGACCAATGGACCAATCAAACTTGCATTGCAGACTAGTAGCCAGCTGAGCAAGAATAAAAGGCACTGTGACACAGCTTATGATCAAGTCTTCTAAACAGGGTACAACC